CACACACACACGCACACACACACTCACTCACTCACTCACACACACATACACTCACACGCACGCGCGTGCGTTGTCGATCTCTCTTTGATCTTTCTGATTACCTGCCCATCTATCTATCTGTCCGCCCATCTGTTTGTCTGTCTGCTTGTCCGTCGGTATGTCTTTCTAGATCTCTATGTCGTGTTTGCTTCTCTTCATCCCCGTCCCAAGCCCTAACGTTCTTGCGCTAGCTGTCTGACAGGCCTCTGCCCATTCTCCTAATATAAGCGTAATGACATTTTTGCAATTATCTGTCTCTGTCGCCAGTTCGAGCCTTAGGGCTATTTCAAAATGTTCGTCTTTCTACGTGATAGTGTGAAGATTTGCGGCCCCTCCCCGCCCCCTTATACACCCACGAAGACAGGTACACACTCGTAATGATTGGATGATTCAGAGTATGATACATATTAAGAAGATCTAAAACAATGTTTGGAGAGCTATGTTGAGGGAATACGATTGTGGTTAAAGCAAAGATTTCCACTTTTTGTGTCTGGCTTTTGTCTCATGTGTTTTAAACAAATGAAGCTGTGTCCCCAGAAAAATAGCAAAAAGTATCGCGTTTTCGTTTATGTCATGGGGATTTGAGCTTGTTTTTGGCGAAGAACTGGCTGCTTTCAAAGTAGAGCGGAGTGTTTTTTTCCTCTTGATTTTGACCTATATCTTGTTTTTCTTTCGTTCGTTTGTTGTTTGTTGTTTTTGTAAATACAAGTGTGTGGACTGACGGGGTTTGTTTCTTCTACTTCTTTTTTGCCTTACTTTTGTCAGAATGGACGAAGTGTGGCTGTTGTTGTGCCGCCTTTTGTTCAATATTTCTATCATATATTTCTCTGGTAACTTCTTTCTCGACTCAAAACAAAACTATGGTCTCCTTAACAAAAAGATGTTCTGGCTGGCAAGAAGAACTAGGACAAAAGTCGGTTTCGAACCTGCAGCCCTAGTGTTGTGTTTGTTTGTGGGAGGTGGGGGGTGAACTTCTTCAGCTCAGGCATCGTGCACGTGTCTCCCAACGTGACGTTATATACATGTACATATTATTATTATTATGTTTGAGTAAGTGAGTGGGTGGTTGGCAGCTGCTCTGGCGTGGTTTGCTTCTTCTTTCCTATCAAACATCTATCGTCCTTATCTCTCCTCCTTCTTTTGTGTGTGTTTGTTACTCTCTTGTAACACCTCTAATCTTCGGCACTTATATGGCCTTATTGTGTTGCAAGTGCCGTGAAACTCTTACTAAAACGTTTTAAAAGTGCCTTAAAACAGTTACTAAAACTGGGTAAGGGAATGGGATAAAGAAAGTGGGAGGAGAGGAAGTGGGTGGGACTTCATTTACGTGGTGAAATGTGAGTGTGTGTGTGTGTGTGTGTGTGTGTGTGTGTTGTTGTTGTTGTTGTTTGTCTTTCTGTGGCGTCAAAACTGTTAATCTTGAGAAAGAAAGGGAAGAGAGAGAAAGAGAGAGAAGGGGGAGGGATACAAACAGACAGACATACAGATGGACAGAAAAGACGGGGATGTAGACTGTCATGGGATCACTGGGCAGGTCTGATAGAGCCAACAATACGAACGGAAAGTATGTACGATACGGAGCTATCTTTTCACCTTTCCCTGGGCTTATAAAGAAGTGAAGCATTTGTCTTTTCGTGGATGCCGACCTCCTTTTACCAACAACAAAAAAAGGAAAGATGAGAGCTAAACACGCGCGCGCAAGAACTAAGAGGTGGAGACAGAAAGAGAGAGAGCGAGAAATGAAGATGGA